TTCATACATTTCTTTTAGCTTTTCCAATGTAGTGAAATACATGTTTTTAAAATTTTTAAATATTTAATTTTTCATATTTTAATTCTACGTGTGAGTATATTGCCTGAATGTAATTGCACCTGTGTCATGCAGCATTCACAGAAGTCAGAAGAGGGTTTTGAATCCCCTAGAACTGGAGTTATAGATGGTTGTTAGCCACCACATGGGTGTGGGAACTGAACCCAGGTCCTCTGTAAGCACAGCCTATGATCTTAACTACTGAGCCATCCTGCCAGCCCTGTTTTAAAAATATTTTATTATTTTTATTTTATGTGTATGAGTGTTTTGCCTGAATGTATGTAAGTGCACAATGCTTGTGCAATGCATACAGAGGCCAGAAGAGGGCCTGGAACTAGAGTTGCAGATGGTTGTTAGCTGCCATGTGGGTCTGGGGAATTGAACCCAGGTCCTCTGGGAGAATAGCAAGGGTTCTTAACAGCGGAGTTATCTCTCCAGCTCCAAAATATATGTTTTTGGTTTTTTTTTAGGTAAGACCTAATAATTTTCTGAATTTCACTGGTATCTGTTCTAATGGTTCTCTTTTCAGTTCCAATATTATTAATCTGGATTTTTTTTCTCTTTTTAGTTTGGCTAAGAGTTTGTCAATTCTGTTTATCACTGTAAAGAACCAACTCTGTTTTGTTGACTTTTTTTTGTGTGTGTCTGTGTTTTTGTTTCCATTCATGAATTCCTGTCTCAATCTTAATGATTCATTACATCTACTGATTTGAGGTTTGTCTTGTTTTTCTTTTTTGAGGGCCTTAAGGTATTGGTCATTAAGTTATTTATTGAGATTTTTCTGGTTTCTTAATGTGGGTACTTAGAGCTATAAACTTCCCTTTTAGGAATATTTTCATTGTATCAAATAGGTTCTGGAATTTTTTTTTTCTTTTTTGTCTTTTTGAGACAGGGTCTCCCTCTAGCCCCAGCTGTCCTGGAACTCACTGTATAGACCAGGATGGTCTTGAACTCAGAGATCCACCTGCCTCTGCCTCCCAAGTGCTGGGAATAAAGGCGTGCACCACCACGCCAGGCTGGAATGTTTTTTTAAAAATTTTATTTATTATTTTTATTTTATGTGTATGTGTGTATTGCCTGCATGTACATAAGTACACCTGTGTTGTGCAATGCCCACAGAGGTCAAAAGAGGGCCTTGGATCCCTGGAACTGGAATTACAGGTGGTTGTTAGCCACTATGTGGGTACTGGGACTTGAACCCAGGCCCTCTGCAAGAGCATTCAGAGCTCTTAAGCCCTGAGTCATCTCTCCAGCCCCTGGAGTATAGGTTTTTAATTTGTATTTGAGCCTACAATTTAAAATTTTCTTGATTTCTTCAAGGACCCATTCATCGTCCAGTGGTGTGTGGTGTCATCTCTGTGGTTGCTGTATATTCTAGGGCTTCTCTTGCTGCTGACTGGCAATCTTATTTCATTGTAGTCAGATAGAATCAGGAATTAGTAAAGTTTTCCTTTATTTGTACAGACTTATTTTGTGGCCTAATATATGATCTGTTTTAGAAAAGTTCCACAGGCTGCTGAGAAAAGTGCATATTTTGCAGTGTTTATCAGATTGAATGTTCTGTAGGTATCTGGTATGTTCATTTGATCTATAGTGTCATTGAATTCAGATATTTCTGTTTACTTTTTGTCGGGATAGATCTGTCAGTTTGTTGAGAGTGGGGTATTGAAGTCACCCCCCACTGTTGTGCTGGAGTTAATATGTGACTTTACATCTGGTAGCATGTGTTTTATGAAACTGGGTGCACCTATGTTGGAGCATATACGTTTAGAATCTTAGTTACCCTTTTGTTCCCTAATTGGTATGAACTGACCTTTCTATCTGTTTTCTCAGTGTCTTTGGTTTTAGACTCTCTTGTGAGGTACTAGGTCCATTTGCTTGGGACTCCTTCTCCCATCCTTTCATCCTCAGGTGGTGTCTTGTCTGTGACAGTGAGGAATGTTTCTGGGGATGCATGAAGTAGAGGGCTCCTGCTTTTTAATTGCATCTACTGGTCTTGTCTTTTGGTTGCAGAACTGAGACTGTAGCCATTCAGGCTTACTGAGAAGTGTGCATTGCTTCCTCCGTTGTCCTTTTGTAGTGTCTTGTTCTTCCCATACTTAGCATTATTGCAGGCTTATTCTTTTATGTGGCCTTATGGATGGATTTTTCTCTCCAGTCCAGAGGGTCCCTTGAATTATCTTCTATAGAGTTGCCTTAGTGACCATAAATCCCTTAGTCTATTTTTTTTAAATCATGCAAAGTTTTTATTTTTCCTTCAATTGTGACAGACACCTTTGTTTGGTATGGTAGTCTGGGTTGGCAGTTGTTGTCTTTTAGAGCTTGAAATACATCTTTGCAAGCCCCTCTTGGCTTTTTAAGTTTCATTTGAATAATCTGATGTCATTCTAACGGGCTTGCCTTTAAAAATTTTGATGAATTTGTATTTTATGAGAATGGGCATTTTGCTTGCATGTATGTTAAGAGCACTATGTACATGCAGTACCTGTGGAGGACAGAGGAGGGCATCAGATCCCTTGGAACTAAAGTTAATGGTTGTTAGTTACCATGTAGATCCTGTGAACCAAACCCAGGTCCTCTGTAAGAACAGCCAGTGCTCTTAACTGCTGAGCCATCTCTGCAGCCTGGGCTGCCTTTCTATGTAACTGGGGATTTCTCTTTTGCCACTTTTAATATACTTTTGTTGTTCTGCATTTAGTACTTCATGATGTGTTGAGGGAAAGTTCTTTTCTGGTCTTGTCTGTTTGGTGGCCTAAATGCCTTCCATATCTGGGTAGGCATATCTTTTCCTAACTCTGGGAAATGTCCTGTTAGGATTCTTTTGAAAATGTTTCCACTGTGTTTAGAATGAGCTTCTTCTGTGCCTCTTGCTTGTAGACTTGGTCTTTTCAGAGTGTCATTTATGTCCTGGAGCTCCTGCTGGTAATTTGTTATGCTTTCTTTGTCCTGGTTTGACTGTTCTAGTTTCTACACCTTGCCTTCAGGGTCACATGCTCCCTCTTCTTGATCCATTCTGTTGCTGAGACTCTACACAGAGCTTTCATTATAGTTTTCATTTCTAGCATTTAAGATTGATTTTTCTTCAGTATATCAGGGTTGGTGGGGGGCTTTTAATTTGCAATCTTACCCAGAAGTCTCACATCAGAAATTTTAATTCTTTGTATCCTGAAGAGGCAATTCTCCATTTTGCTTGTTTGTGTTTCTGCATGTGAGCATCTTTGTCTGTTTTTATTAAGTCCCTGAGAAGCCTGTGCTCCTGTGGCTTCTTGTCTGTTCTTTATTGGGGAGGGAAGTGGGGTTGGGTGATAACTTTTAGGTCTTCTCCTATAGAAAGGATCATATAGAAAGGATATTAACCATTAGGTATGTCTGCTGTGTTCTGATCTGCATCTGTCATTGGTGTTTACTGTAAACATTCTAAACTATGGTGTACTGTCCTATAGCAGGCCAGTTATCAGTGTTTCATTACAGTTTGGTTCCATCCATAAGATAAACTGTAAGAATACCTTTTTCAGGGCTGGAGGACGGCTCAGTGGTTAAGAGCACCAGCTGCCCTTGCAGAGGACCCAGGTTCAGTTCTCAGCACCCACATCGTGGTAGCTAACAACTGTTTTTAACTCCAGTTCCATGGGATCTGACTCCCTCTTCTGACCTCCACAGGCATTGCATGACAGGTACACTTACATATGTGCAGATAATACACCCATACCCATAAAATAAAAATAATAAATAATATATTAAAAAATGCCCTTTTCTATGGAAGACTTGGGGCTTTTCTACTTCTTAAAGTAAATCTGCAAGCTGTTTCATCCTATTTCTATCTTGTTTAATGCATCAGGTCTGTGTTGAAGTCGGTGATCGAAAGCAAGCTTTTAACTGAGAAGGGACATCCTGTGATTGGTGAACACCTGTTTATCTGAGAGTTCTAGGTCACTCGAGTTAGCTGAAGAATAACTTTGCTGTAGGATTTTCTGTGCTTTTTGAATTTTTAATCATATGACTGCATTTCCCATTTAAAAGTTACTGAATATCGCTGGGGCAGTATTTAGAGACCCTGTGACTGTAAATGCAATTCTGTTTAAGCCTGTGTGTTTTCCTGAGATTTCCATGTTATTTGGTATTATAAAGAGACTGTAAGAAAGTTCAGTGAAGACCTGAACTGAGCAGGCTGGAACACAGAGCAGGCAGAGCAGCCACCGGGCTGCCCTCACCACACTCCGAGCTTCGCAGATGGAGAAGCCTGTGCGATGTTTTAGCGTAGTAAAACTAACTTGTCATTTTACTCTAATTACTATGCTATAATTTAAAATTTTCAGAGGTAATTCTTTTTAATACCTTTCAGTATTTAGGGATTTTTTTTCTATTTCATATCTTAAATGAGCTAGAATTTTTAGAACCTTAAATATAAAGAAACAATGTTTCTCATTTGTCATAGAAAGATACCTTTTGTTTTGTTGATAAAATATTCTTTTATTTTTAAAAGAAAAATGTTAGCACGTTTCTGATTTCATCGGCTTCCCTTGAGGTCTTTGACTAATGAAGATATGTCAACTCTGTAATTCTCTTTTTGAGACAGGGTCAGATTGTGGAGCCCAGTCTGGTCTCAAACTCATGGTCCTCCTGCCTCAGCCTCTGGACTGCTGGGATTATAGATGTGTACCTCCACACCCAACATGCGGTTTCTTTTGATATGAAAAAAAATTAATTTGTGAATCCTTACCTAAGAGTGTCATTTCTATATTCATATCAAAAGATTATAATTTTATCTTTGTTTTTGGCCTTTATATAATCTTGGTTTTCTTGATCATTAGCGTCATGCCATTTGGTTAATTTCACTTATTTTTCTGCATTTTTAAGAATGTGATATTGGAGTTAAGCTTTTCTTGAACATTCTTAATGTGTTCAGTTTTTCTGTATTCCACCTGATTCTTTTATGTTTTCAGATTTGTAGGAATTTCCAGTGTGTGAATGCATCTGTCCTGAATTATGACTGTGATATTCAGAAGAAGTGTCATGGCCATGGGGTGAGCAGTGTTCTCCTTCATTTTTTCTCGATGGTAGTGCTCAGGTGTTTAATAACTGACGGTGGTTCCCAGGAGGGGTTAGGTGAGGTTCTGAAGATTCTAGGTAGAAGTTAGAGACTTCATTCATGCTCATCAGTTTACATTGAAAAGTATATGGGTCTGATGAATTTTGCCCTTCCTCTAAGTTTACATTCTGGAGTTGACACAGAGCATATCCACAGCTAACACGTGATATCTTGCTTATTTAAAGGTGTGTAATAGCAATAAGAATTGCCACTGTGAGAGTGGGTGGGCCCCCCCGCACTGCGAGACTAAAGGATATGGAGGAAGCATGGACAGCGGACCTACATACAATGGCAAGTAATGCTGGTGAACGTCAGTGTGGCCTTCCAGGGCCAGGTCATAGTCAGGTCCTCACTCCTTTCTTCGCTTTCCGCACCAGCTGTTCATTTAAATTGCGTTCATTTCGCCTCCTGCGTTCCTTGTAAATATTTCCATTTTAAAGATATGTATTATTTTTATTTTTATATGTATGAGTGTTTTACCTGCATGTGTGTAAGTGCACCTGTGTTATACAATGCCTTTGGAGATCTGAAGAGGGTGTTGGATTCCCCAGGAACTGGAGTTATGGACAGGTGTTAAGCGCCATGTATGTGGGTGCTGGGACTCAAACCCGGGTCTTCTGCAAGAGCAGCCAGTGCTCGTAACCTCTGAGCCATGCCTCCAGCCCAGCAAGTATTTCTGTCTCTGCAGCCACATTTCTTCAGCTTTCTGCCTGGCCTTGTGGAGCAGCCTCTTTTCCAGCTCCCCGTTTCCCATCTTGCTTTTCATGATCCATGTCAACACCTCATTATAGTTTCAGTGTTTTCCTTTTAGACTGAAATTCTGATTGCAGCCTGTCTGCTCTCAGTTCAGAGCTTCTTTATGACTATTAGGATGAAGAATACAAATCCTTTTGAAAAATAGTAAATAAAAAATAAATTTTTATTTATTATTTTTATTTTATGTATATGAATGTATTGCCTGCATATGTGTAAGTGCACCCGTGTCATGCAATGCCCACAGAGGCCAAAAGAGGGCATCAGATCCTGGAACTGGAGTTATGGATGGTTGTTAGCCACCATGTGGGTGCTGAGAATTAAACCTGGGTGGTCAGTGTCTCACTTTAGCCTCTGGGGACACTTGTTCTGCTGAGCTGTACTTCTGCTGTGCATTCCCTGATTACTAATGATATCAAACATCTTTTTTTGTGTGTATTAGCCATGCACATATCTTATGTACTGATGTGTCCAACTTTTTTCTCAAATTTTCATTTTGCCATTTTGAATTTTAATAGTCCTTTGTATATTATAAGCACAAGTCCCATATCAAATATATGCTTTGTATGTATAGTTTATTTTTTAGTTTTTTTATGTAGATTTATTTATTT